CATTTATTATTATTTTTTATTTTATTTTATTTATTTATTTAAATTTGACTGGGGGCTGTTGGGGAGGAAGTTGCCAGGTCTGGGACTTTAACCACTGTCGGCCACCTGGAGTCTAGCACCTTAACCACCATGCCACGTTGCCAGCCCCTCCCTCAGTCATCTTAGAATTTTACAAGTCTTGGGACCAGTGGGTGGCGTGGTGGTTAAGGCGCTGGACACTCCCACATGGCTGACCACGGTTCAAGTCCTGGACCTGGTGGCTTGCTTTCTCACTTACCCTCTCTCTCTCTGTCTGTTTCTGGTCAAATTAAAATAAATGGATGAATAAATAAAAATTAAATAATTTTTTTAAAAAGGAATTTTACAACTCTTTAAAGTGTACTAATATGGGGCTAGCAAGTGGCATGGCGGTTAGGGCACTGGACTCCCACACAGCCAACAGCGGTTCAAATCCTGAACCTAGCAGTTTGACTTCTCACTTTCTCCCTCTCTGGTAAGCACATGCACCTTACTGCAAAAGAATTTTTTTTAAGAATTACTTGTGTTTATTTGTTTGTTATCATTATTTTTCAGTTTGACCAAAGAGAGCAAGTAAGAAAGCAAGTCACCAAGTCATGACTTGAACCATGGTCGGCCATGTGGGAGTCCACTGCTTTTAATCTACCACATCACCTGCAAGCCCCCCTATTGAAAAATTTTTTTAAATAATAATAAAATTAAATAGCAGTTGGCATAATGGCTATGTCGCTGGACTCCCATGTAGTCTACCGCAGTTCGAGTCCCAGACACAGTGGCTTAAACTCATGCTGGGCACGTGTGCATGCATGCCCAAGGTCCTGAGAGGAGAATGGAGGTGAGGGGATTACAGCGTGGCCATCTCCCCGCCACCCGAGTGATTTCTCACTTTCTGTCTCTCTGTCTTTCTCTGAGCGTACACGCCCTATAGCAAAAAACTCAGATAGATAGATAGATAGATAGATAGATAGATAGATAGATAGATAGACAGATAGATAGTTTTTTTAATTATTAATGCAAAATCATTGATGGCAGAGTTTGTAACCTCTTTAAAACTGCTTTTGCGCAACAGCTGTACGGTTATTTGAGCTATAGTGGGGTTTTTTTGGTTCTATTTTTAGGGTGTTTTGTTTGTTTTTAATCCTGCTACAGGGTGCATGTGCTCACTGGAGAGAGACAGACAGAGATGGGAGTTGGGAGTGAGACGACATCCCTGAGGGGGATGGTCATGCTGCAATCCCTTCTCCCTCAGTCTCCTGTTGGGATTCAGGCATACAACCACAAGCACGCAGCCATGTTTTTTAAGCCATCAGGTTTGGGACTCAAACCACTCATCCAGGTATGTGAGATCCAACACCTTAACTACCATGCTGCAGGCTGGCCCCTATGGCATTTTACGTATTTAGAATTCTACATGTTTAGACCAGAAGCTTTAGATTTAGCTGAAAGTACAAACCCCACTAAAGTTCTTCTACAAATACCCTTCAAAGATAAAGTAAAATTTACTTTCAACTGAATTCGAAGTTTTTGCTTGCTGTAGGGTACATATGCTTGCCAGGGTGGGGAGAGAGAGACAGACAGTGAGAGGGAAAGTGAGACATCACCCTCTGGGGGAATGGCCATGCCACAATCCCTTCTCCATTCTCTTCCCAGGATTTTGGGCACACATGTAAACATGCTCAGCATGATTTTCAAATCATCGGGTCTGGGAGTCAAACTGCATCGTATGTATAATGTATATAGTAAGGTGATACGATTGAATGCTCTCTGAACAATGGTTTTAGGACATATACATGTATATATGCACACACACACACACATATATGTATATATAGAAATAGATATATACACATATATCTCCATCCAGAAATCAACCTAAATCATTCAAACTGCACAATACATTCTTTGTTTTTTAAATCCACTCCACACAAAATTTAGTGGTGAAAGTATCCTTGAAGATACTTCTTGATGAAATGCCGTTTGCCATTTGTCTGCCATTTTGAGGAATAGGTAGAAACACTAGAAACTACTTTAGATCAAAATTGCAAACTGGGGACCAGCAGATGGCGTAATGATTACGTTGCTGGACTCCTATGTGGTCAACCGTGGTTCAACTCCCAGACCCGGTGGCTTAACCTCATGCCGGTGCATGTGTGTGCATGCCCAAGATCCTGAGAGGAGAATGGAGGAGAAAGAATTGCAGCATGGCCATCCCCCCGGGAGGTGATTTGCTTTCTGTCTCTGTCTTTCTGGTGAGCACACACACCCTATAGCAAAAACCTCTCCAAAAAAAAAAAAAAATTGCAATCTGGTCGTCCACACATGCCCACAGTTGCTTCATTAGTGTATATACTGTTTTGAAACATGTGAATTTGGGACCAGCAGATGGCATAGTGGTTATATCGCTGGACTCCCATGTGGACGACTGTGGTTCAAGTTCTGGACCAGGTGGCTTGCTTTCTCACTTTCTCTCTTTCTGTGTCTCTTGCCAAAATTAAGAGATAAATGAATAAATAAAAGAAGAAAATCACACCAGGCTTATGTACATGCCCAAGATCCCAGGAGGAAAATGGAGGACAAGAGATTGCAGTGTGGCCCTACCCCCTGGAGGGTGATTTCTCACTGTCTCTCGCTCCAGCAAG